TTTCTCGGCGTCCATCGAGATTAAAATTTCATTGCAATCGTGACCGGGTGGAGCAGAAGTATACAACACATTAAACAACCGCCTGATAATAATGAAGGATTGACGATTTTTAATAAAACCGGTCTGGTCAGGTGAAACAATTGTGGGGATAATCTGTTCGACTCGTTTTGCCAACATCTTTGTAAGAATTTTTACATCAGTATTTAAAAGCGATATTGGGCGATATGAACTACAGCTCAAGGGGTCTTTATCCTTCTTTAAAAGCAAGGAAATTACCGCCTGACGCATAGACAGTGGTAATAAYTGTGTAGCCAAGGATTCCTCAAAAACTGATAACAACAGGGGAGAAAGCAGATCCGAAAATTTCTTAAAGAATTCTGTCGGGAAATCATCTGGTCCTGGAGATTTTCCATTTTGCATGTTTTTAATTGCAGAGTTTATCTCAGCAAAAGAGAAATCTCTTTCTAACTCGTTAGATAGGTCAGATCTGAGTGAAGGGATTTTAATATCTTTAAAAAATCATCCAATTCAGTAGGGTTAGGTGAGGCTTCGGAGATATACAGAGATTGGTAAAATTTGCTGAAACACAGATTAATTCCTGCATTCTCACAACATTTTACACCCTGCTTATCATTTATTGCTGAGATCTCCTGTTTAGCTGAGCGCTGCCGTAGCTGCTGTGCAAGAAGGCGTCCAGCCCTCTCACCATGCTTATAATAGCCATGCCTAGATTTGGATATTAAATATTCGGCCTGTTGGGTAGATAAGATGTTAAACTCTGTTTGGAGTAATATACATTTCTTAATTGAGTCTTGTGTAAAAGCATAGCAGCATTCCATCTCTAATTGTAAAATCTGATCTGTTAGTGATTTTAGCCATTTGATGTTTTTCTTCTTTTTATTTGCACAATAAGAAATTATTTGACCTCTCCGGTAAGCCTTTAATGACTCCCAAACAGTGCTGAGTGGCATCCCAGGAGTCCGATTAACATCAATAAAAAACTTAATTTGAAGCAAGCATATCAACTCTCAAGTCTTCGTCAGATAAAAGTATCGGATTAAGTCGCCAAGGACGATAGACCGATTGCGTAACAGGAACGTTCAGTTTCATTAAGAGCGGACTATGATCAGAAATGACTATCGCTCCATAATCACATTCATCTCACTAAAGGTAAAATCCGTTTATCGAGGAGAAAGTAGTCAATCCGTGAATAGCTCTTATGAACAGGGGAGAAGAACGAATACCGTCTCAGRGTCGGATTTCGAAAATGCCACATGTCAACCACTCCATAAGTGTTAAGAAATGAATTAAWTGACTGGGCCGATTTAGAAAGAGAGATCCTCCCCACTGTACTACGATCGAGGGATGATAGCACACAGTTCACATCTCCCCCAATTATGAGATTATGTGTTGAAATATTAGGTAAATTTGAAAAAAGCGTATTAAAAAATGTTTGGTCATCCCAATTTGGAGCATATACCGAAACTAAAATGACTGGAAGTGCATATAGTTTTCCCACCACAATAACATAACGTCCAGCAGCGTCCGTTTTAACACTGGATGCCGTAAATTGCACCTGTTTACTAACTAAGACGCCCACCCCTCTCGATTTAGATTGGAAATTAGACTGAAACACCTGACCAGACCAGCGCCTGCTTAGATTTGCACTGTCTGCCTTACGCAAATGGGTCTGCTGCAAAAAAATAATAATAGCATCAAGTTGTCTTAAACGTGTCATAACTTTCCTAAATTTCCCTGGACCATTGAGGGATTTCACATTCCAACTCACACAGTTAACTGGGTGACTGTTGATGAACCTGGTAATACTAGAACTGCTCATGTATGGTCAATCGGACTGTAGTACAGTATCCACAAATCATCAAAGAAAGATAACCTGACAAAAGACATTCTCAAAACAGATAGATCCGGTATAGTCCCACCCCTTTCTCCTAAAAAATCACGGAGAACCCAACAAACAACAAATCCACACATTTGCGCTTATACTGGGGAACTTAACTCCCTGCCTGGTCTCCCGCCGTAACTAAATAACAGTAACAAAAATGAAAAAACAAGGGGTTCCCATAATTTAAAGTATTATTACTGTTTATGCTCCTCGCTGCACTGATAAATAAATCACTAACCAAGATCTGACAGACCCCCTGTGAAACTCTCATACATAGAAAAAAAAAAGGAATGTTGTACCTCGGAATAAAGTCTAAAATTAAATCAAGATATAGTGTGGGACATAATGTTGGAAGGTTCTTTACAACCTGACAGACGTAATGGATCGATGAGGATTGGACCTTGTTGTCCGTCGCTGAGATGATTTTCTTTTTAATGTAGTCCATTGCTTTATTGGCATCCAGGAACTCCTTGTTTTCCTCCCCCTGAGAGATACAGAGCCGTGCAGGAAAAAGCAAGCCGTAGCTAACATCTCGTCGGTTGCGAAGAAGCCTCCTCACCTCCGTAAACGCCGCCCGAGCCCTGGCCACAGCTGTCGTGTAGTCAGATGTGATGATAATCGAAGTCTCCTTAAAGCGAAGAGGGCCATGACTCCGAGCCCGACGCAATATTTCCACACATTCTTGATAATAGTGCAGCTTAGCAACAATAACCCGCGGCTTATCGCCTGACTTGTTCCCACCTGGACAGCGATGTGCTCGGTCAACCAGTGGCTTTTTATCCATCTGTAGAACCTCTGCTAGCAGTTTAGCCACTGCTGAAGTGGAGCTGGATTCTGGGGTCTCAGGAACTCCAATAATCCGCACATTGCACCTTCTCATGCGCCCTTCCATATCGTCACACTTCTTTTTGAGCCCATCAACAACTTCTTTCAGTTCCAAGATGGTGGTGCGTAGAGTAACAACCTCATCGGACCAGGTTGACAAGCCGTCCGCCACCTCTTTTACGCTCTGTTTAAGGTTGTCCAAGTCAGCACGAAGTAGCATTATGCCGTTAGCCACTTCCGCTCTCACCGCTTGTAGCTCTCCTTTAATAAAAGTAAACTCTTCAGCCAATACCGCTTTTATTTCCGATTTAATTACAGCTGAGAGATCGGTTTTTATAGCGGCAAGAATGTCAGACTTCAAGGAGAGTGCGTCCACCTCGCTGCGGGAGGGAGAAGGAGGTGCCGAACATCCGGCTTTAGCTGCAGTCTGCTCTGAGGCGGCGTCGGGTCTAACAGCCGCAGAGCTGTTTGCCTTTCCTCAAGTTTGTCGCCATTCTTCTACTCTTCCAGGCAAGAATCACTCAGGGGTCGAGTCCGGACAGACCAAATGCTCAAAACAGCAAGGAATTCAGAAGAGAACCACAAATAAATCAAGTCCGAGCGGGAGCCCACGCGAAACACGTCTCACTCCTCTTCCGCCATCTTCAGGGAGAGAGGCATCAGACTTTGCTTGCCTTTCTGCCATCGTGTTTTTTCTGAATATCCGAGGAGGAACAAATATGCGTCAGTCCCGAACTGAGTTGTCTTAAGAATGACGCATAGTCATGGTATAGGTTTGGAAGACAGCAGCAGACCCAAGTCATCCGACACAATACATTGTTTAAACTTACCCTCAGGTTGGCGGTTCTGTGCTGTCATAACAAAAAACGGCACATAAAAATAGATTTTTCTCACTGTGGTCTCCCTTAAGATGACACTGTTCTCACACCGTGCAACAAGAAAAAGATATTGTTTACAGATCCCTGTACATTTAATGATACAAATATGACTGTAATTATCAGATAGTTTCTGCCTCATTTATAAAATTTAAACTCCAAAAACTAACACTATCTGTGCCTTAAGAACATGCATAAATGATTAGTCTGCGTTTAAAATACTGTAATATAAGTTCAAGCCCATTTTGTTCATCTGTAGTCTTAGCCTGGGCCTTGCCTGAGCATATAATCTCCATGATCAACTGTGTACTAAAGTAAAGCTTTCGTCAACACCGACTACCTATTGCACTGCAGTCAGATGTCATTTAAAAGTATCTACTGCATCGTTCTTTACCAATTATGTTTATTTATTGTTTTGACACAGCCTACCTCCACTGTGTAAAACAATACTGCTTACCTGTCGAAGAACATCTGTGATGGGAGCGTCTTCCAAGCTACTACAGGGCTCCAGCAGATGGGTTGAGTGGACCAGAATCCCACTTTTCCTGGGATCACTGGGACTAATCTGAAAAACATGGCAAACAACAATAACACTTTCACTACAAGTACCAATGCTCTTTGTTGCAGTTTAACAAATGATAAAAGGTGATCAAGGAGATAGGTGCTTAGAAAAACAGATAAGTACCAAGCACTGAGAAATGGAAAGTAAACAAGTAAAAATAGAGACAAACTTTAACTTCACATCTTCTAAATGATGCATAAAGCTAGTGTCTGTTAGGATTTCCAACTTGTTTAAAGTTAGAGTTGACCTCCTAAATGTGTTTTTAGTAAAAACTACTAAAATGCTTGTTTGCAGCGTAAATCCTTCCATCCCTTTTATTAAATCAACCATATTTTAAGGTGCCTTGAAATAACTTTTGTAATAAATTACCAATACAAACAAATCTGAAGTCAAAGGACACCAACTAATCATACTAAACAATTTCTTATAACAATAAGTTTAGCTTTATCTGAAAATTATTTACTTTATGTTCTCAGCTCTTTAACATTAAACAGAAACTTCTATAAATAAATTGTTTAAAAAAAGGTTTAGTAGTCATTAGTTTTACCACAACATCTGCAGCATCTGGATCAGGATTGAGAGGTTCTGGGTTCAACCACTCCAAAAAACTGGATCACATGTAGGAAAACAGAGAATTTGGAGTCAAACTTCTGGAGAGCTTTACACGTTTTACAGGCTTTGTACTTTATATCTTTACATATACCAATGACTGGAAAAGGATGTAAAGCCAAAGTAAAGAAACAGAAAATGTTTCAAGAAGTTAAATTACATTATTAAACATGTGCAGAAAACACTAACTCCTGCAATAAATAAATAAATAAATAATAAATAAATCATCAGTGATTCTCTGATTCCTGTAAGAGCTGCAGCTCACCGTGAACAGACCCGGACCTCTTCCGTTGTCCATGTCCTGCCTGCTTCTTGTCCCATCTCCACTGATTTACTCAAACTCAAAAAGAGCAACAAAAACATGATTAAACCTAGTATCTGATCTGAATGAGCTGAGTGACATATAATTTAGATTTACTCATGACTGTATGAGGTTTAATACTTTGTATGTTGATCTGCAGGATTTTCACTCTGACTGCTGTAAAGATTATCTTCAGCTTCACTTGGCAGACCTCTGCAAAGACAAAAATGAGTTCCCAACATTAACAGAAACAGTGTTAAAGAGACTCTGATAATCTCATGAATCATTCGAATCAAATCTCATCAGTGAGGTTAAACATCATCTCACACAATATTACAAGATGTCATTGATGTGTAACACTCAGAGTTTGTGTTGTGAATGACTTGTCTACTACCACACCAGCTTTAGCTCACCATCTGTAATTTTACCTTAGGCCCAGTTTACACAATGCTGGTTTTGAGTGAAATTGTGTCTCTTTGTCTGCAGTTCAGTCATTTATGTACAGGAGCATCATGCTCGTCTCCTCTGACATTGAAGGTTTCTGAATCCAGGTCTCAGAGCAAGGGCTTTTGGGAGACCACCCAGCAGGGGTGGGACATGACAGCAGTCAATAGTTGCAAGCAGATGCACAGTGAGCTACAGCAGAGTAAAGTTCTGTTCTCCTGCTCACCATTTTCAACATGTAGGAGCAACCCAAATTCATCCTCAGTTCAAACAAAGATCTCTGTATTCTATTTTGGATGCAACTAATTTACACTGCCTTGACAAAAAAGTCGCCACCTGTATTTAACTAAGCAAACAGGTATGAGCCTCCTATTAGATAATTACTGCATGAGGATTACCTCATTCTTTGGCCCATGCAGTAATTATACAGTGGGGAGAACAAGTATTTGATACACTGTTGATTTTTCAGGTTTTCCCACTTGCAAAGCTTGTAGATAACTGCAATTTTTATCATAGGTACTCTTCAACTGTGAGTGATGGAATCTAAAACAAAAATCCAGAAAAATACAATGTATGATTTTTAAATAATTAATTTCCATTTTATTGTGTGAAATAAGTATTTGATCATCTATCAACCAGTAAGAATTTTGGCTCTCACAGACATGTTAGTTCTTCTTTAAGAAGCCCTCCTGTTCTCCACTCATTACCTGTATTAACTGCACCTGTTTGAACTCGTTACCTGTATAAAAGACACCTGTCCACACACTCAATCAATCAGACTCCAGCATCTCCACAATGCCCAAGACCAGAGAGCTGTGTAAGGACATCAGGGATAAAATTGTAGACCTGCACAAGGCTGGGATGGGCTACAGGAAAATAGGCAAGCAGCTTGGTGAGAAGGCAACAACAGTTGGTGCAATTATTAGAAAATGGAAGAAATACAAAATAACGGAAAATCTCCCTCGGTCTGGGGCGCCATGCAAGATCTCACCTCGTGGAGCATCATTGATCTTGAGGAAGGTGAGGAATGAGCCCAGAACTACACGGCAGGACCTGGTCAATGACCTGAATAGAGCTGGGACCACAGTCTCAAAGAAAACTATCAGTAACACAATACGCCGTCAAGGATTAAAATMCTGCAGTGCACGCAAGGTGCCCTTCCTCAAGCCAATGCATGTCAAAGCCGTCTGATGTTTGCAAATGACCATCTGAATAATCCAGAGGAGGAATGGGAGAAGGTCATGTGGTCTGATGAGACAAAAATAGAACTTTTTGGTTTAAACTCCACTCGTCATGTTTGGAGGAAGAAGAATGATGAGTACAACCCCAAGAACACCATCCCAACCGTGAAGCATGGCGGTGGAAACATCATTCTTTGGGGATGCTTTTCTGCAAAGGGGACAGGACGACAGCACCATATTGTGGGAAGGATGGATGGGGCCATGTATCGTGAGATTTTGGCCAACAACCTCCTTCCTTCAGTAAGAGCACTGAAGATGGGTCGTGGCTGGGTCTTCCAGCATGATAACGACCCAAAACACACAGCCAGGGCAACTAAGGAGTGGCTCTGTAGGAAACATCTTAAGGTCCTGGAGTGGCCTAGCCAGTCTCCAGACCTGAATCCAATAGAAAATCTTTGGAGGGAGCTTAAAGTCCGTGTGGCCCAGCGACAGCCCCAAAACCTGAAGGCTCTGGAGGAGATCTGTATGGAGGAGTGGGCCAAAATCCCTGCTGCAGTGTGTGCAAACCTGGTCAAGAACTACAGGAAACGTCTGATCTCTGKAATTGCAAACAAAGGTTTCTGTACCAAATATTAAGTTTCATTTTTCTGGTGTATCAAATWCTTATTTCACACAATAAAATGGAAATTAATTATTTAAAAATTATACAATGTATTTTTCTGGATTTTTATTTTAGATTCCATAACTCACAGTTGAAGAGTATCTATGATAAAAATTACAGTCATCTACAAGCTTTGCAAGTGGGAAAACCTGAAAAATCAACACTGTATCAAATACTTGTTCTCCCCACTGTATACCTGAATATACTGAATTACCAATCAGTGGATTGTTTCTTCCCTGATGGCACGGCCATATTCCAAGATGACAATGCCAGGATTCACCAGGGTGGAATTGTGAAAGAGTGGTTCAGGGAGCATGAGACATCATTTTCACACATGGATTGGCTCCACAGAGTCCATTGAGAATCTTTGGGAGGTGCTGGAGAAGGCTTTGTGCAGCCGTCAGACTCTAACATCATCAATGCAAGATCTTAGTGAAAAATTAATGCAGCACTGGATGGAAAAAAAATCTTGTGACATTGCAGAAGCTTATCAAAATTTTTATTTAATTTTTTCATATCGATAAGTTTCATGTTAGCTGCGGCCAGCTTACAGGAAGTCATGTTCCGTAACGTCATTTGTTTACAATCTGCTGCTGCTTAGTGTTAGCCTGCAAAATGATGACAACAAAAGTTGGGAGAAAGCAGCAAAGTCTGATTTGGGATGTTTTTGAATATGACTGCAAGAAAAATAAAAACAAGTGTCTTGTAGTGGAAACAGTTAATAAAACAACTGGAATACTTCAAGAGGAAAACCCGCAAGAATCAAGCTTGCACAAGACTGATAACTTTGAGTATCTTGACAAGCTAGCTTCTCTCAGTAGCTCCCATGAAAAACGAGCAACAGCCTGGCCAAGTAGCACCGGGTAGGAAATAACTATCATCATCCTTCTAAAAATATTCACCCACGTCCTTTGTTGGAGAAATTGAGTTACGCATTTATTTTAGGAAGATGTCACTAGAATGGACTTCTTTGACCTGCAACCAAAACGCTGCTGGTTAGTGAACTCACAGGAACATCTCAAGCTGAAGGATATTTATTCAAACTATAAAACTACTATTAGAACTAATGAAAACTAAACTAAAACTAAGCATTAAAAACAACTAATAAAAACTAGTAAATCCACTCTAAAAACTAATTAAAATAAAATTAACTTAACTAAAAGGAAAAAAGTCACAATGACATAAAACTAAAGTATATTGAAAAATCAAAAACTGTAATTTATAAATTTGGTGGACCCACCACCTGCAGGGAGGACCATCAAGTTTGGGTGCAGAGTGCGCCGAGCAGAAGGCAAGGGAGGGTCCCTGGCTGTGCTGATTCCTGGTGGCAAAGACTGGTTCTAGGGATGTAGAACATAATCTCACTTGCGGGTAAGGAGCCAGAGCTTGAGGGTGAGGTTGAGCATTACCAGCTAGATATAGTTGGGCTCACCTCAACTCACAGCTTGGGCTCTGTAACCCAACTCCTGGAGAAGGAATGGACTCTTTCCCACTCCAGAGTTGCCCAGGGAAAGTGGCGACGGATGGGTGTGGGGATACTCACAAGCCCTGGCCTGTGCGCTTTGGTGTTGGAGTTCACCCTGGTGAAAGAAAAGTTGCCTCTCTGTGGCTTTGTGCTGCAGGAGGGAAGGTTCTGACTGTTGTTTGTGCATATGAACCAAACATCAGTTCAAATTACCAGGCCTTTTTGGAGTGTTTGGATGGTGTCCTGGAAAGGGTGTCATCTGAAGATACCTAATTCTTGGTGACTTCTCAACATCCATGTGGGCAATGACCAAGTTATATGGAAAGGGATGACTGGGAGGAATGGCCTCCCTGATCTGAACCCGAAGGGTGTTCTGTTATTGGACTTCTGTGCCAAGCATTAGTTGTCCATAACGGACACAATAGTTGAGCATAAGGTGGTCCATAAGTGCACTTGGTGCCAGGCCACCTTAGGCCAACGGTCGATGATTGATTTTCTAATTGTGTTGTCTGACATGCGGCTCTAAAAGGTACGTTCAGACCAAACGAGTTTTGAGCATCAAAAACGCGCCCAATGCTTCAAGTTGGGTGCTTGTGCTTTTTCAGGTCAGACGCGTTTGGTGTGAACGTACCGTGGTTGCAGATGCAAAAACTTGGATGGGGGAATAATTTGTGAAGGCCATGGAGAAGGACTTTCAGTTGACTTCGAGGAGGTTCTGGCAAACCATCTGGCCACTCAGAAGTATTCTCTGTACCAGGCTGTACTTGGTTTTGGTGGGGAACTGCTGACCCGGACTGAGGATATTGTTGGGTGGTGGAAGGAACACTTTGAGGATCTCTTCAATCCACCCTTCATGTCCACCTTTGAGGAGGCAGAGTCTGAAGACTCGAGGGAAGATGAGTCCATTACCATGACAGAAGTGACCGAGGTAGTCAAAAAGCTCCTCTGTGGCAGGGCGCCAGGGGCGGACGAGATTCACCCCGAGGCGAGATACACACACACACACACACACACACACACAAAACTTTATATCTAAATAAATAAATAAATTTAGCTGATAAAGTGTGTCGGAAGGTGTCTCTGATGCTAACAAGCATTTATAGGGAAAACTTAAAAACATGCATGTTGGAAGAAGAAAACCTATTCCTTGAGTAAACTGGCCTGTCTGACAACCTGACAAGGACAGTATTAGTTTATTTTATTATGTGAACCATGCAGCTCAGTCATTATATTACTGTCTATCATAAGCAAGTCAAATAATGTACAGAATTTTCATTTTGTGCTCCATCAATTCTTGTCTGTAAAGGTAAGCTAGAGTTTGGAATCATAAACCAATGATTTACACACAGGCCTCCATTAATCTACCATAATTTTTGCAATATTTGTCGTACCTTTGTTTAAAACTATATTTCTGTATAAATCTGAGTATTTTGTCTTATATTCCTGAATTATACAGGATTATATGTTTAATGCATGTTTAACTGCATTA